CAGCCACTCACGTGCTATGCACTTATTTGATCTGTTTATAGCCTGGTATAAGAAAATAGGTTTCTGTGAATTCAATATAATTTATCCACCACCAGGAAGTGGCTGAGTCATAATTAATTGAACTTGGTCAGAATTTCTCAGAATGCTATGAGTTATAGTGGCTTTAGCAAGAAAGTCATGTTTGTAGGAAATTAAAGTGGAAGTGTTTGTGTGGGGCTGATTTGACCTTTCTTGTTAATGGAAATGGTCTCAGCTATATTATTGGTGAAGGATAAAAAATGCATGGAAAGTGACAGAAACATGACTGTGGAAATGCAAAATTCATGTATAAACAGAAGGGACTGTGATGCAATAAGAACACCCTTATATAGAACACCTAATGCAGTGGTCGAAACTGTACTCGTTCACCTTTCTGAAAAGAATAACAGCAAAATATGCAGATAGTTTAGCTAAATGACACAATATGACAAAAACAAACAAATCATAAACCCTTTGATTTCTATATTTTTCCATTTTACTTTTTTATTAAGTCCCTTGGATCAAACTGCTCTTTTTTCCTTGTACCAAAAAAATGTCAAGTTGTGATTATAAACAGAGGAAGTCTCCCTGCTAATGACTTCACATATTTTAGAGAATGAAACCTAAGACGAGCATTCAACCCACGGTGCTGATTTAGACTCAAGAATAGCCAAAGAGAGTGGCAAGAGGAGAGATATCAACAAAGCGGAGATAGTTTGGACTTTGGCATAATGGGGAAAGTGAATATATTGGACAACGCATGATGAAATGACCCTGGGTAAGAAGGAAAAGAGAAGGACAACAAAGCCTCAGGGAAGCAGTAAAGAAGTTTAAAGAGGGTTGTTGTGACAGAGGAAGACAGGAGAGATTGAGACAGAGGCAGATGGTCCCCTGTTCTGCACATATATTTGAAATGTCCAGGTTAATTTACCTTCAAGTTGGAGACTTGATTGTTTTGATGATCTTTCTCTAATCAAATTGAATATTTTGAGCTCCCATAAAATCATAACAAAGAGAAATTACAGGGAAAATTTACTTCAATTTTTTTAATAGCTTGGCTTATTTAAAGGCCAAAAAGTAAGGTTTGCTATAATTTGGGCTATTCAGTAATTACTTAAATAGTTAAGACAGTGTAATTATCTTAATTTTCGATTAAAAGACAAATTAGGACAGGAATTCTCACCCTGGCACAGAAAATATTTTTTTAGCTTTCAGTGTCAGTAGCTTCTAATGACAGTGGCTCTGTTCCTTTGGACCAGCTAAGGTTTGGAGCCAACATATAATCACTTTAATTGGATGGATGCAAACATCTGGTTTCAAGGGTAAAAATTTGCTCTATTTTTTTAGGGAAGAGGGGAAAAAAAAGCACCATTCTAGAACAGAATTTTTTAGTCTGTTTGGGTCGAAGGGTTGGGTCAGGAAAGGTCTGCAAATCTACAGTGAAATGCAATGTTCTAAAATGTACAGATGAAACCTGTATAGAAAGAAAGTGTATCAGCTCTGCTCATTTGCAAGGCTCCCTCCTCTTTCCCCATTTAGAGGGCAGCTTTAATTCAACCAAATTAATGAGGTGAACAGCATGTGATGTTTTTCATTCCACTGAAAGGCGGAAATAAATAAAATAAAGGACGCATCTCGTAGCTACTCTCAGACAGACAAGGGTACTCTAAGTCCTATAACAAGTATCATCAATTGCAAGTATATCAATTAAAAATGAATATATTTTTTCAATAAATCACATTTTCTAAACGAGAAGAATGGTCTGGCATAGATGTGAACTAATTTTGATTTATTACTACAAATGAATTCATTCAGGGATCTGATGTTGGAACGACCCCTCTAGAGTCCTGATTTGAATCTGATTGAGGTCAGAAGACCTTTCCATTACGCTAATCTTTGGCTACCTCCATATATTCTCTAACACTCATATTCCATATATTGAAAACATAAAATCAGGTAGGAAATAAAAAAATAAAAAAAAATAAAAAACTTACTTTTAACAAATAAACAACACAAAGATAAATTGTTTAGCAAACTTTTGAGATAAGCCTATTAAATATGCTGGCTGAATAAAGTCTGTCGGGGATGTAATGCTGGGCTTGACTGTACTTTCATCTGCAGATTTGGCTTCCACTTGTAATTTTTCAGATGAGTGCTAGGCTATCATTTACATACCCAATAGGTTGACAGACCACTCAGCAGTAATTGTTTTATTTATTGAAGCACCTGCATAAAAAAAAATAAAAAGCTTGATTACCAGCTGCTGGACAACAACAAATAAATTCAAAACCTGTTTGTGCCAGCAGAACACCAACAGTTCCGCATCTTCCAAAAAACAAATCCTTTTACAGACACTGCAAACATGGAGCAGATGTCATCCAGAAGCTTTAAACAGCAAAGAGTCACCTGAATGAAAACATGAAAAGTAACAGTTCTTGGAAACAGAGAGGGGGCAGACCCTACTGGTCTTGGCGTGCTGCTGGAAACTTCGCTCTGTAGAGCATCAAATGATTTAGAGGGTTGCTGAAATCTTGCATCAGGAATGAAAGAAGCGTGTCTCTGTTTGACTGAATGAGACCAGCTGCCAGCTTGGTAACAAGCTGCACCATGAGTGTTTGCTGTAGCAGACCTAATGCATCAGGCTTAATCAATAATAAAGTAATGGGGGGGGGGGGTTCATGCAATGGCTAACCTGCCTGGGGCCAAAACAGTCATTGACCAAAAATTACGTTGCAATTTGCCTTTAATTAGTGGCTCTGCAAATTATAATCCTTAATACCCTGTGGTGGTCTAATTAAACCCTTTTTAATGGAATTATTAAGTGAGAGTATTTTTTATGTGTAGGTGTTAAAAGTTTGTTATTAAAGTATTTATTTTAGAAATTATAAAGACTTATCTCCAAACTAATTGGTACAAATATATGCCTTATATATGCATGCATCCATCCTTCTATGCAGTAATATATCAGTGAATGAATTATTGGAACCCTTTCCCTGTGCTAAATGTAAAACATGTTTGTGTTCTTTAGAGGAGAAAAGAAAAAGGTTTTCACTCTGGAAAGCTCTCTACAGCCATCTAGTGGCCTAAACTGCTTATCACAGCTTCTACACTGGATCAAAAAGTTAGGCAGATTCACCACTAGAGGGCACATAATCCCATCACTCAAAGCCACTTTAAGAGGACTGAAAAAAACAACTGGAGAAAGACAAGGTAAAGTTTCCCATCATAAGCTTTATTCTGGTCAGAGTGCTTTTACGGATTAAAAAAGGCTGATCTAAATGCATTATTACCCCAGAACCTCCAATCATTGGTTAGTGAAATCAAGAGTCGTATTAAACATCCAGGAGTCATACTTGACCCCTTTGAAAAGTTTACCCTTCTGGAAAGAGGCCACTCAACGCATCATTAGTGGAGAAATCAATACAGACACAAAGCCGGTCCTGAATTGAAATCAAAGACTTGTTAAGTGTGGAGAGAAACATTAAATGAATTTGGCCCCAGGCAATTCAATTAAAACACTAACAGGATGGCCTAAATGGGGCTTTTATCCAAGTTGTCCCCAATTCCAGAAGCTCTGAAAAGTTAAGAGTGATTTTCATACAAGTTAGTGTTTTTATTAGAACTATCACTAATCACCCTGCAATCTAAATTAGGCGGTCAGAAGTTAATTAAAAGTATACTTTAATCTTTTTTCTTCCAGGGTAGTGGAAAGAGTATAGAATGAATAAAATGAATTCAAAATTTAAATTCAATTAGCAGAACAAATATGGATGATTGTGGATCTCTTTAATCAACAGAATCAAAAACACATGTAGTCCTAAATGTAGGAAAACATCACCCTAAAACTTTGAAATAAAAACTGAGTTTTTTTAGATTTATATTTAATCTGAAAAAGCCAAGCTCTTATAAAATCTTGTATGGGATTATTTGCTGCAGCTGGTGTTTTCCCACTGACAGCAGAGAGAGGATATGCTTGTAACATTCATTTTACTGACCAAAGCTCAGAACGATGAACAAATGTGTCATGTTATGAAATTACCCAAAATGAGCTGCTGATGATTTAGGAATCTGGGGCTGTCCTCAGATCAGATTTACCTCCTGATTTTACATCAACCAGCAGAATCAGATGAAGACAATTTAGAGAACAGTGCAAACGATACTTCACAGTATTTAAAAATGAATGAATGAATCTCAGCCGGCTAACTGATTACAATTCAAAACTCTGTGCTTTTGGGAATATATCCCCCTTCTAGGCATTGCTTAGATTATTGCTGAGAGCCACGACATACTGGTGCTGCAAATCTATGGCTTATTTTTTCTACTAGCAACCTCAGCAAGCAATTACCGGTCTAAGCACAAAGAAAGACCGGTGTGCGGTGTATAAACTCCTAAACCAGCTAGTTCAAAACGTGTGTGGCGTGTGCTGACGAATGCTGCTCTGTCACCCCTGCCTCACTCCATCACTACATGCACTTGGCCTGATGCCACTCTAGATCCAGTATTTTCGATTTACTGGTTGGCATTGGTTGTTTTCATCCATGCAAATGCAGTTATTGCTTTGACTGGATGAAAAAGGCCTGTCTTTGGCTAGTTGGTGTGGTTTATTGGCATAAGTTAAACAAGCGTGCAGACATGAAGCCGAACAAGAAGTAGTGGAGCAGGAGAACAGTTTTATCAGAGTTATCAGAGAATTTTGAGTAAGCAGTATAGCGGTCAGTTCTCAGGATGGTGGCACAATTTTTTTTAATATATTTTTAATTATACATAAAAACCAAGCTGCATGATCTAAAACTAGATGGTCCTTCATCAATGTTTCTAATGTAGAAAGAGAAGGTGATCAAATTGCAGCATATATAGGTTAGAACTATTATTTTTATTCCATGATGATTGTCCTTATTTCCCAGAAAGAGTGAAGGAAAAGTAAAAAAAATTAAAAAGTGTAAAAATCATCAGTATAATATAAGTGAATAAAATCAGCTTACCTCTCCTCGACTTGCTTAATAGGGTCTGTTAAGTTTACGGCTTCAGTGGTGATCTCAACCTTGCGGACGCTGCCGAAAAAGTCTGTGATGAGGACGCTTCCCGGATCCCTCTGGAACAAGTCAGTGCGATGACCCGGAGTGGACACGCACTGACTTGAGGGGCAAACTTTAAACTAAGGAGAAAAAAAAAAAACACAATAATAAAAATTTACAGACATTAATCTTTGCCATTAGAATAAAACTGCTTATTGCTTTTACTCCTTTTATCTTTATGCAATATTACAATTTCTTTGTTGTCATTCAGCATTCAGGTATGACAAAAAGCAACATCAGAGGAGATCTGCAAAGCAGTTCACTATATTTATGACAATGGAAGGGGCATTTCTGTTTAAAAAATAATTTGATTTTTCAGTAAATGATTTGCCAATACTTTGGTGCCTGTGTTGTGTATGAAAAAGAAAGAAAAAAAAACAACATCCTGGAGGTTTTTTTCCCCCTCCGTAAGTGAATTGAGCAATTTATCCGTCTATTTGAAAGGTGACATAAAATCATTACCCTGACCTGAACATTACCTCTGTTAGTCAAACAGGACTTGAAAATCCATCACTAAAGCCTTACAGTGAATGCGAAAGCCGGTTCTTTCAAAAAGCAAAGCTTTTCAGGCTGGTTTTAAAAACCTAATAGGCTAGTCGAGAAAATCCATGGTATTGATCTTTAATCCCAAAAAAGCACCAGAACAAAGAGTGCATCAACTGGAACGTATAATTAGCATTAGCTGGGGTACACAGAGTAACTACCATATTTTGAGATAAAACTTCTAGTGGTCCCTTGGCTCGATAGATCCTGGCAGGAGTCCAAAAGATGAAAGGGGAGGCACTGCTGAGGCCGAGCCGAGGCCCTGAGAGTGTAGTCAGATGTCAAACACAAACAGACCACACACCTTCTTAATCATTCTGTTTCAAGTGTGCACAAGTCCTGGGAGACCTCTGTCGCTTTCATCTGACTCTTATTGGAATGAACAGAGAGATTCGGTTCCACTAACATAGATTAAGAACAACAAAAGTTTAGCCGAGTCACACAGGCATCTATCCTCCACAACAAGAGTTTTCTCTGTATCAGATGCCAATCTGTGCTCGTTACGTCATACATCTACAAGATACATCAGTAGAAAATTGCTACAAGTTTATTTCTAAAATCATTTTCCCTACTTTGAGGATCAACGTTTACTTTGGTAATTGCTTCCTGCCCAACAACTGTTTCCTGACATTATTTTTAAACTCTTTGCTCTCTCAAGAAATCAAAAGATGGCTTTACACCAACATCAATCTTGATAGGTCAGTCCCTCGCATGTTTTAGATGTGACCCTGTAGCAAGAACGCAAAGATTGACAGTAGAGTCGTGTTAACGGTTTCCCACAATGTAAGGGACATAGCAAACATGGAAGAAGATGGCCTGGTTGGGTGACATATTAAAATCTAGCTTTCTTTGCCTTGTTAAACGTACACTGCACATCATAAGAAACACAATATTCACATGTCGGTATATGGTAGTGGCAGCATCATGCTGTGGAAATTAGATTCTTCAACATAGACAGGAAAGCTGCTCAGAGTTGGTGGTAAGATCGATGGAGGTATAAACAGGGCAAATCCTGGGAAAAAAGATTATTAGAGGCTATAAAGAACTATAAGGTGAAGGCCAACAACAACAAAAAAATGTTTTAACAGTTACATATCAGATTTCCGATTCCTCAACTAACTTAAATTAAAAACAGCTGAAGCAATAAATTATTCTCAGATGACGAAGTACAGCAAAATTCCTCACCTTTCCTTATGTTAAGCCACTTCGAAAAAAAAACAAGTCACTTTAGGTTTGAAGTTTTAAGATGTATCAAACAAATATCCCCTTTCATTAAATACTAAATTCTAAGCTTCAATAAATATGAAGCTTAGAATTTGAGGAATTACTGCTCAGAGGAATACCCCGACCAGACTGCGGGCCAAAGCCATGATGTTTGGGGAGTAAAACCTCTCATACATAGAGGCACCCTAACAGCTAATTTTGGACTATATGATTTCAGATGAGAGAAAAAAATCAGCAACAGCTTCTCATAAAACATGAAACAAAGCCTCACCAGATCGTTCATGTTTGCTTTGCTCGCAGGGTGGATGTCTTCCAGGAACTCCAGCAGGTAGAAGGTGTAACGGTCCATTAAATGGACTCCTATGGCCAGATCTGGCTGGTGCTGAAGTGGAGACAGGGTAAAAAAATTATATAAGATTTCCAAAACTTGTTGGACAACTCTGTTGCGTATAGATTTTTCTCCAAAGTTCTCTTTATTTAGCAACCAGTTAGTGAGTGAAATCATTGCTTGCTGTATGTTTTCTGGTTCCTTCAACTCTGCATTACACAGAACCAAATTTAGAGAAGCATTTAGTTCTAATGGGCCACTTATATGGAACCAACCCCAAGAAAACTAAAAGTTTAGCCACCCTAAAACCCTCTAAATCAAGGTTTAAAACCCATTTGTTGAAGTTGCCTTCAACTATCCCGTTTACACCGTTAACTGTAACAGATTACTTTTGTAGCCCAACGTTTCTTCGACTGTGTTTATAATACAACTGCAATGCACTTTCTCTTTGCATTTTGTTTCTTATATGTTCATTTACAGTTGATGAATTCAACTGTCTTGTTACTAAAACTGTATCTGTAATATAATCACAATCTTAAAATAATCTCCCAATCGCAGATGGACTATGTTTTTGTTCACATTATACTTAAGAGTCAGAAGCCAATTTTCTTCCTCCAAACCTTTAGATGGTAGCAGGCTTCAAGGAGGTTTGTTACCACACAGAAGAGAAGAGTGAGAGTATTATCATGCGACAAAAAAAACTCTGAACAAAAAAAGTGTTCAAGGCCATGAAAACAATGAAACCAATGAGCCAAACGTAACCTTCAAAATTTAATCACAACTGCAATTTAGGTTGGGTTCTGGTCTGCATGCTATTGGAGGTGTGGCTTCACCAAGGGGACTGTGCACTTTATCTCACTCTGGGCCTTTTCAACCTGAAGGCTGCTGCTGCTGCTCCCATTCTTTGCTGACACCCAACACCTTTGCAGTTTATATTTTTGCACCAAGGTTCCATCTGCCTGGGACTGCTGCGGCCTTTTGGAGCAACCTCTGCTTTTCTGTTCCTTAGTGCTGTGTGTTGCAGGCCGTTTACAATCGTCTGTCTCTCCAAACAAAAACAAAATAACTCTCTACACATTGGGTATATAAGTAAACCCAATTAAAGAAAACACTTATTTTCACACATACACTCTTTTACACCAATGTTGTACGTTGATGCTGGCTCTAGCTTTCATTGAGTGAAGTATATCATGCAGTAAAGATATCTCAACAAGGCAGCCTATTTGTGGAGGAAATCTTCCCTTATAGGTTTAACCAACCAGCCTCATTATAGAGAATGATTGTAATACTATGACAGAACATGTGCACAAAAAGGAAAAGAAAAAAGTAAGTAAGACAGGCTCAGTTATCTGAAATGATTTTACTTGATATGCATTTCTTATGTACCTGTCATTTTAAGTCATTTGCAGCCTCTTGGCCAGGAAACCCTTGAAAAAGAGGCTTTTAATCTCAATTAGATTTTTTTTCCTGATTAAATAAAAGAAAAATATAGATGGAGTAGAAAACCTGAAAAAATCTGTTAGACTATTTAATTCAACAATGTGCGCCATAAAATAACTCACCGACAGAGAGTCTTCCCCGACCTGACTGCTGGCCAAAGCCATTATGTTTGGGGAGTAAAACCTCTCATACATGGAGGCACCCTGACAGGTGTCGATGATGAAGAGCAGCTCATTGTACCTGCACAGAGACATAAAACAATCTAACTTATTTTCTAATAAAACCCAATCAGAAAGTACACAGCTGGCCTTACACCAGTCCTTTGCTCCAATAAAAAAAAAGACTTATCACAGAAGCCTTCACGTAGCCGTTACCATGGCCACCGAGTAAAAGCTTCAGCACCATTCAGTCCTGCCAAAACGCCTACACGCCATTTCACCCCCTTCCTTCTGCTCTTCTTCTCCTAAGAAAAAACCTTTTCCCCTTCAATCAAACATGAATAATAGAATCAAGCGGACTGAATCAAGCTGGTTTGAGGTCAGTAAAAGAAGGTGGCAGTAATTAAGCAGCTAAAGAGTGCAATTATCACAGCAGCATCAAAGCTGCTTGGGCTAATCTCCACTGAGGCAGAGAAAAGCTTAATGCAGGAATGACTTCTGATTTATTGATTTCAGTTAGACCGCTATAATGCAGTCCTATTACCAAAAAAAAAGTGTGATTTGGAAGTAAAATAGGTCTAAGACCTGAACATGTCGAATTTTTTTTTTTTTTAATCAGACTAAAAGGCATCAGCCTGTTTTCTGATCCTGCTTACCCAATTACAAATCCAGTAAGAACAATAAAGCTAAATTAACCCACTAAATCATTTAGATTCATATAAGCCTTTCCAGTGTTATGAGATCATCTGAGCAGGGAAAAATAAAATAAAGCATGATTTATTACTCAATTAAAACGGCAGATTTAAAGCTGTTATTTTTCTCCAGTCAAATTAGAATAAATTAGCTCACTTTACACTTCTCAACAACATATTACATTTATAAGCACTTTTAAAATGACATAAAAAAAAAAAAAAAAAAACATACTCCTCAGCAACTTAGATAACTTTTATCGTCATTTTGTATTCACAGAGCGTATACAAACTCTTGAGGAAATAGGTTAGAAACCAGCAGTATTATTGATGCGTTGCACTATTTTTTTTGGTTCAACTGCACCATATACCATGGCTAATGTTTGTTGTATTGAACTAAACATGGTTTAAAAGGCTGTTCTTAGCTGTTTTAATGGGGCCTTGATGTTGATTGGTAAGGTCACAGAAACAAACCACAAATGACTGCATGCTGAAACCATTTTTAAATACATCAAATAAAAATGTACAATATGATAATCTGATCCATTTTAATATAAAGGGGAAAAAAGACTTTGTTTATCTACTATGTACTCCAGGTTCAAATATTTCAAACTTGAATGCATTTAGATATGTTGCTGTAAAGTGTGGAAGTACTAAACTACTTTTTGCCCCCCAAAAAAAGACTAAAAGGTTGATTTAGGGAATAAGACTCAGAACAAACTTTGTACTAGAAGGTTACTCTAAGTTTTCTCAAGCAAAATAAGCAACTCTTCATGTTAATGAAAATCAGGGTGATAGGTGACGACAACCTTAAGCAAAAAGACGGAGGATTGGCAAGTTTTACGTTGTAATAAAACCTCAATAGAAAATCAGAGCTTAAGCGACTTTATTTATTTATTTATTCATTCATTTAAACACCGCTTGTGTCGCTCGTTTGCTAATTTACCTTCTTTTCTGCCACATTTGCTCAAAGGCATCAGCCAACTCCACATTGCTGATTTCCTCAGAGTCCTGGAACTTCAGGAAGCCGTTACCGCCATGGCCTAGTGATGGAAGCACATCCCCAAAAAAATATGATTTCATAAAAAAAAAAAAAAACATCTTTATGAACCATGTGAGTAAACTTTTTTTTTTCTAAATGAAAAACAATCAGTTCCCACAGCCTGCAGAGGCACTTAGTATTACATAATAGATATCTCACTTTAGTTCTCTAATTTGTTTAAAACTTTATCCAAAACTAAACATTTTAATTTGTTAAAATGCATCTAAAGAAAAAAAAAACATAGTTCGACAAGACCTAGACACAAAAATGCCAACATAGCACCAGAGTTTTTGTACTGATGTGAGGATCTGTTTACCCAGCATCAAGTTAATCTCTGCTGTCTTTATAAACCCAAATTAATTCTGACTAAATGGAAAATAACCTTTTAGGAAAGAGCAGACAAGACATCCCCCACAATACCTGTAATGTATCCCATCTAAAAGGCCAGCCAATTACATGTCTGGACTAATTAAAGCTTTCCTCCAAATAATGCAAAGCAGTCTCCTTTTCCAGCTCTGCTGTGCTTCATTGACTTTGCATGATAACTAAAAGCCATTTAGCATATTGGCAGAAAATGTACTTTAATGTACATCAATGAAAAACAAGTGGATTCATGTGGAAAAGGGCACGGAAAAACTTCAATCATTACATACTGAAATCTTAAAGAAACTTGAAGAACGTTTACAGGTTTTAAGTATAAAGTTAAAAACCAATCTGGCTTTTCCTGGCTGTCACCAATTTCCTGTTTTATTTGATTTTAGAAGTCCACATTCTAATGTTGATTCAGTTTTCTCCTGTTTGCCCTCACATGAGAGAGTGTAATGTGGATTGTTTGACGGAATTCATAATTTTAAATGTAACAGAACGTGAAGGAATATCATTTAATTTCTCAAGGGATCAGCCCATATGTTGACACATTCAGTGCTCTCAATAAAAGTGGGAGTTCTCAGATTTAAGGTAATTAATAGATCACAGGAAAAGAACAGATTTTATAGGATTTGACCTGTTGATTTTTGACCATAGATGTATCAAGTTAGGATAAAACAGAGTTAAGAGTTAAGGCAGTGTTTCCCCAACATGAGGCATGCGTACCCCTAGTGGTCCATGAGTGCATTGCAAGGGGTACCTGAAAATATTTTATTTCTTAGGTAGTAAAATAAAATAGAGCTGGGATTTGTTTTGCTTTGTTAGGGCCCAATTGAAAAATTAAACAAGCTTTTATCAATCAATAATTATATTTTTCTTTCATGTTTGAGTTCATCTTGAGCTTTGACACACATCAGAACCAAGCAGAGGAACAGACTGGATGTAGAGAACAGTCTGGTATCAGCTGTTTTTCACACTGAGCTAACGGAGCTCATCAAACCTGCTGAGGTGTCTTGATGAAAACAGAGTAAAACTAATTAATTTATATAATTAATTAAACTCTAATTTATGTTCTGTTTTGTTCCAAATTCATAAATTTTAAATGTGATTGTAAGGGAGTTACTCAGAGGAGCTCCAGTTTTATAAATAGATTTATAATATGATTTTATTTTGTTTTTAAGTCGATACTGAATTCCAGGCAACATTATTTAATTTTTTTTTTTTTGAGATGGAAAGCAGCGTAAAGTTAAATAGTTTTTATTTCAGATATTGTACATTCCATTTTTGGACAATCATCAAGACTTTTGACTGAGAGGGCGACTCATGGTGAGAAAAAATGCCAAAAGGGGTAAAAACGTCAAAAAAGGATGGGAAACACTGAGTTAAGGCATGTAACTGCCGTGCAATCCAACATGCATACAGTTTCAGGCACACTTGTTCATTTCACAGCGCAGTGCTTCGTATAACTTTTTTTTTGTGCTAAATTTAAGTATACAGGATGAAGCAAAAAACTTAAACGAGTCAATCACCACTTTCTCAGATGTGGTGCTGCAGCACTTACTGTGAGGAAATAAGTATTTGAACACCCTGCTATTTTGCAAGTTCTTCCACTTAGAAATCATTGAGGGTTTTGAGATTGTCATCGTAGGTGCATGTCCACTGTGAGAGAAATAATATTTTTTAAAATCTAGACATCGCAATATATGATTTTTAACTAACCATTTGTATGACACAGCTGCAAATATATATTTGAACACCTGTCTATCAACTAGAATTCTGACCCTCAAAGACCTATTAGTATGCCTTCAAAATTTCCACCTCCACTCCAGTTATCATCCTACATTAGATGCACCTGTTTGAGGTCGAAAGCTGCATAAGGACACCTGTTCACCCCATCCTATCAGTGAGAATCTAACTACTAACATGGTCAAGACCAAAGAGCTGTCCAAAGACACTAGAGACAAAATTGTACACCTCCATATGGCTTGAAAGGGCTACAGGGAAACTGCATCGCAGCTTGGTGAAAAAGGTCCCCTGTTGGGAGTATTCATTAGAAAATGGAAGAAGCTACACAAGACTGTCCATCTCCCTCGGACTGCGGCTCCATGTAAGATCTCACCTCGTGGAGTCTCATTGATCCTAAGAAAGGTGAGAAATCAGCCAAGAACTACACAAGAGAAGCTGGTCAATAACGTGTCAAGAGTTTGGACCACGGTTTCCAAGGTTACTGTTGGTGATACACTAAGACATTATGGTTTGAAATCATACATGGCACGGACGGTTTCCCTGCTCAAACCAGCACATGTCAAGGCCTGTTTTGAGTTTGCCAATGATCATTTGATGATCCAGAGAAATCATGGGAGAAATTCATGTGGCCAGATGAGACCAAAATGGAACCTTTGGTCATAATTGCACTGACCGTGTTTGGAGGAAGAAGAATGATGAGTACCATCCCAAGAACACAATCCCTACTATGAAGCATGGGGGTGGTAGTGTTTTAGGGAAATTTTTCTGCATATGGGACATGTTTACTGCATTGTATTATGGAGAGGATGACCGGGGCCATGTATAGAGAGATTTTGGGAAACAACCTCCTCCCCTCAGTTAGAGCACTGAAGATGGGTGGAGGCTGGGTGTTCCAACATGACAATGACCCAAAGCACACAGCCAGGATAACCAAGGAGTGGCTCTGTAAGAAGCATATTAAGGTTCTGGTGTGGCATAGCCAGTCTACAGACCTAAACCCAATAGAGATCTTTGGAGTGAGCTTAAACTTGGTGTTTATCAGTGACAGTCCAGAAACCTGACTGATCTAGAGAAGATCTGTGAGGAGTGGGCCAAAATCCCTCCTTCGGTGTATTAACTTAGATTTTCTCAGGTGTTCAAAAACTTATTTGCAGCTGTATCATACAATTGTTAAAAAATATATATATGTGATTTTTTTATTTTTTTTGTTTTATTATGTCTCTCACAATGGACATGGACCTATGATGACATTTTCATATCCCTCCATTATTTATAAGTGAGAGAACTTGCAAAATAGCAGGGTATTCAATTACTTCTTTTCCTTGCTGTAGATGTGAAAGCTAAAGGGGATCTCACAGCAGGTGGAAATCTGTGCTAAATTTCAAGCATCCAGTGGCGATTCTGAAGAAAACTTCATGTAATGAATCATATAAAAAACAACAAAAAAACTTCCTGAAAGCTCTTAAAGTGGCATTTTTGAACAACCAGTGGAGAAGTAAGAAGGACAAAAGTTAAAAATATATAAAATTTAAGTCAGATTTGTTCATATTCTAGTGACATAAATTCATTTTTTTATTTATGGATTTTAATTATGAAATGCTTTTAGTATTATATAATTACAGTAATGTTTGTAGAAATGCTTAAAACCTGTTTAATAAAAAAAAATTACAAAGAGTTACAGGAATTTAAACTGTATCAGAAGCTTCACCACACATTTCATTGTGCAAAATATTAGCATTTTAATGTGAACAAAACGTTATGTGTGAAAGGTGTAACTGCTCATCTCTTCAGGAGCAGGACAATCACCCTGTCCAAAGTAGGACTCTTGCACATTGCATACTACAGACCTTATGAACAACTTTTTTTATTGGTCAAAATCATTTAAATTTAAAGTTAACTGCTGTAATCTGTCATTCTATTATTAAGCAATGTAAGTAGTTATGATCCCGTTTAATATTAGAGTGTGGCCTCAGCATGAAAATCTGATGTTGCACGCAGTGATCGTTGGTGAACTTAGAGGGAACATTGATCTGAACCTGTAATTTAAATCATATAAAGCGGTTTTGACAATTTCCTTCTTTCATCTCCGGAATAATGCAAAAATTACAAATATCTTATCCTGGGGTGATGCTGAGAAATTAGTCCATGTATTTGTTACTTTAAGGCAGAACTATTTTAATTCTTTACAATCAGAAAGTCAACAAACTGAAGCTAAAAGCCTCCAGCGGATCCAAAATGCTGAAGCCACAGTTTAATGAAAATTAAAAAGCGAGATCATATTTCTCCCATCTTATCTTCTCTTCATTGGCGCCCTGTCAGATCAAGAATGGAATTTAAAATCCTATTTCTCACATATAAACTCCTAAATAACCAAGTCCCGTCTTATATCAGAGATCTTATTGTTCCTTATGTTGCTAACTGAGCACTTTGCTCTCAATCTGCAGGTTTACTTGTTGTTTCTAAACTTTCTAAAAGTAGAAGAGGAGCCACATCTTTTAGTTATCAGGCTCTTCTAATGCCAAGGACCAGTTTTAGTCCATGAGGCAGACACAGTATCTAAGGCAAGGCTTAAAGCTTTTCTATTCAATATAGCTTATAGTTAGTGTCCCATGTTATCCTGAGCTATCTTTATAGTTCTGTTGATATAGGCTTAGAGTGCTGGAGGACATAGGGACCACCTTACATCATTCTGTTTTATTCTATCTCTATTTTCCAATTCAGTAGTATTTGTCAGTTTAACACTAATATTTGTTTACTCTGCTTGTTCTCATCATACTAGCTTCAACTGTCTGTTCCTGATTGGCTTTTTCCTCTTCACTGTCACTGCTTGCATGCTCGGTGTGAGGGATTGCTGAAGAATGAATAACCAAAAGCAAGTGAAAATCTGATCTACATGCTCATCCAGGAGGAGTGTATCCTGCAAAGTCAATGACATGATGCATTCAATTGATTTTCTATATAAGGAAAACCAGCTGATTGCATCAAGTCATTTAATTTTTTTCCCCATTCTTGAAGTAACCATTTTCTATTCTATGTTTTTCATATAATTTATTCAAAAAATAAGTAGAGATAATGAAATACCAGTGAGGTATATGAGGATGTTGCTTCGGTCGTCAGACAGGAGGCGTTTGGAGCGAGGGGTGCTGGGAGGAAGCCGTCCAGTCAAAACCCGCAGAAAGTTCTCTACAGTCACCTGAAACAAACAGGAAGCTGATTTTAAGCTGTATTTTAGATTGTTCATTCCATTTTGGTAAACATCTAAAGCCGGGGTCTTTAAGTCAAGTCCTCTAGGTCCAGTGTCTTGCAGCATTAAGATGTGTCTCTACTTCAACATACCAGAGTCAAATAATCCGGTAAATGGTAAAACTCTGGAGAACTAAACTGAGGAGGCAGGTTGGCTATTTGATTCAAGTGTGTGTGAAAAGACACATCTAAAATGATGAAGGACATTGCACCTCGTGGACCAGCATTAAAGACCCATGATCTAAAGCATTAAGCAAACATTAACAACACATGTATATTAGCTCACATCTCAATCATGAAACATGATTATTTTAATAACTGTTTGAGGCTAAAACTTCATACGCCATTTTAGCGCGCTGTCTAGCTAAATTAAACTCCTCTAAAGGGTAAAATTTCACCCGGCCATTAAAATAAATCACAATATACTTAATTTAATATGCTTAATTTTTAATAAGTTAAAAAAAGATAATCTGCAAATATTAAACTGCTTCAATTATGGACAGTCTAATTATACCATGAAAAAAAAAACCAACTAAATTGTATTTCTATCTAAAACAGCGGGTTCTAAGTATTTTTTGACTTAGAGGTATAATGGAGGATTTTCTTAAATCCTCGATTTTTTTCTTTAAAGACCTGCCCTCTCCACTTAAAAAAAAAAGCTGATGCACAACCATGTACCCACTCCGGAAAAGGAACGCATATCAAACGCATCCATCGCATTCGCGAGCCCCTTTCTCCTCGTGCACGCTCTGTTTAAAAGTTGTTGGTTGCTTTGCTCATTCAAGCTTACTTTCCAAAAGATTTGCAATTTTTCCACTAGGTCAGACTGACCACCGGTAAGTGAAAATGTGGACGAGCACGTAGCAAGGCCTTACATAAGCATATCACCACAATGATTGGTAATTAGGAGGACCACTTATTTTGATGATCCACCCAGAAAAAGAACATCCTCCACTATAGCTTTAAGTAATCGAGAGCAATTATGAAGGGTTGATAGAATAAAATCCAGGCTTAAGAAATCTAACTAAAGTCTTAGAGACAAAGTTTAACAGCACATAGGTAAACTAACCTCATAACCACGGTAATCCACCTCAACATCGTCCCCGTACACATTTAGCTCCATGTTCTTGTGGCTAAACACTGTAGCCGGTTTGGGGTTTCTGTGGTTACAAGCCATGTCGTCAGCCAGCATCAGAACTATATGACTGTGAAAAATAAAAACAACAGCGACAACTGCATTAATATATTCAAGAAAAAGTAATAAATACAAGTCAAACATTTTTAATGTTTCTATTGATGGCAAAATATTGCAGTTACTGAATCTATTTCTGCATTTAGGAAAGAGTTTACTTTGTACAAAGAAAATGTGCAATAAATTCAAAAATAATAGTAATAAACCTTGATATACAAAGCATGTAGGCAGCATAAATTAAATATACCTCCCTATGCATACACAGACCCTAGTTGAGTTTATGTGGCACTAGCACAAAATTGTTCATATCTACCTTTAAAAAAAAAAAAATGATTTCTTCATAAGCTTGGTTATTTCAAAAGTTTGCCATTTAAAAAAAAAAGTGTAGAAGTGAATATATAAAGGAAATATTACAGCAGCTTTTTAAAGATGGTTTAGATTCAGGTCTGGTGTCCAGTGGGAACAACAAACATAGAGAAGAGTTCCTGAACACCTGACTAGCGTTCCATTGGATGGATCAATCGTGTAGAAGAGCAGCTTATAAAACTAGATTATTTTTAAAAAGGTCTAGATTTTTAGTCAACCTTAATGCCAACTTTATTTATATAGTGACACCTCTATCCAAAGTACTGTTATAAAAGTAAAAAAACAGTTAAGCATTTTTAGTAAAAGACATTTTCTTTCTCCAGAAATAATTTTGATTTTTTTTTTCCAGCATGCCTTATTTATGTTT